CATGCACTTTTTCACGAAAATCGGCCCGATTATGATCGGTGACCGATCGATCGGCACACCTCTAGTTTAAATCACATGAAACTGATTCAGTTGAAAGTGATTCACCTCCAAAGATTCAGTTTAATGGAAGTGATTCAGGTAAAATGAATCATTTCAGTGGAAAAAGAATCAGTTTGGGTCTCAGCTGGAACTGCAGCAGCAGGAACCAGAAGAAGAAGAAGAAGAAGAATGGCTCCTCTGTGCGCTGGCTGCCATTACTGCCTTTATTTATCTGCTGAGCTGCAGCGCTGAGGAAGAGGAGGAGGAGAAAGAGGAGAGGACCGGATTGCATGTTTTCCTCCTCGGCTCAGCCACTCTGTCTCCAGGACGATGGGGGAGGAAGAGGAGGAGGAGGAAGAAACCTGATCTCCTCCTCCTCCACCGCCGCCTCTCAGCCGCCTGAGAAACCCGATCCCGGCTCTGCAGCGGGAGGCTGAGAGGTGGAGGAGAGGGAAACTGGGAAAACTGGGAAAACTGAGCCAGGAGGAGAGGGAAACTGGGAAAACTGGGAAAACTGAGCCAGGAGGAGAGGGAAAATGGGAAAACTGGGAAAACTGAGCCAGGAGGAGAAGGAAACTGGGAAAACTGAGCCAGGAGGAGAGGGAAAATGGGAAAACTGGGAAAACTGAGCCAAACAGAGAGAGCCAAGAGAAACTGGTAAGACTGAAAAAATACTCCAGGAGACAGAAAATTTGGGAGAACACTCCAAAAGGAGAGGAAAAACCAGGAAAACTGGGAAAACCAAACCAGAGCAGAGAGGATGGAGCAGGAAGATAGATCTGCTCCACAGGAACGTCCTGGATTCTCCAGGAATGTCCTGGAATCTCCAAGAACGTCCAGGAATCTCCAAGAACCTCCAGGAACGTCCAACGTTCCCATCCATTGGACAACCAGCTGCTCCTCCAGCCAATCGCAGCCCGGTTTCTCTGGAGACGGAACCAGAACCAGGAAGTTCCAACTGAACCTTAGCTGAGCTTCCTGCTCCGATCCTTAGGAGGAGGAGGAGTGGTGATGTGGGCTGGTTGGTTCTGATGAACAGGTTGGGAATCCATCCTGGATCCGGAAAAATCACCCAAACATCCACCTGGTTCTGATCCGATTCATGCCAACATGAACAGGATACATCACTAAAGGTTCTGTTACAGTTTCTACCAGACATCCAAGACCAGAACACCAGAATTCAACATCTGGATCTCAGAACCAGAACGGTTCTGTAACTGGGCCCACTTTCACCTCAATAGGAATAGTTTCTCTGTTTCAGAGCCTTTTCACAGAAATTAAAGCAAAATTTGATCATTTTACATGTGAAAACAGCTGGAAACGACCTGCAGAAGGTCCAGACAGGTGATCTCAGCAGAACCCGAACAGAACCGCCAGAACATGTCGGGTTTAGTCCAAAAATCAGATCCAGTTTCAGGAAAATGGCCCGGAAAAACATAGGTGTTCAAAACACCTGATCTGTACTGAGAAGGTCAAATTTCTGCATCTTTTAGAGGGTTATAAACCGTTTTATTAAATAAAATGTTTCATTATTAATAACTAAACATGTTTAAGGTAATAATCCTGATATTAAACCAGCAGGGAGGTTTCGGTTTAGAAAGCAGCTGAAAATGAAGGACCGGCCAGGTGAGCTGAACAGACACAAAACCACCAGAACCGACCCACAAACATCCTGACTGAGCCGGACTTCCACCAGAACCAGCACAAACCCAAACATTAAGCTGGAAAAATCCTGATTTTCCTGACGTTTTCCCAGCGGAGTTAGCCGCGGAGCTAACAGGCAGGAATGCGGCTAATTAGTGGTAAACAAACTTTATAAAGTTCGATTAAAATCCTCCAGTCAATCCTGCCCAGGGTTGATAAACTGAAATAAAACACGTTTTAATGTTTTTAATTCTTTGATTTGATGCTTTAGACATAAAATCAGCTGGAAGACGAGCTGCGCTTAGAACAAACTTTTTTCCACGACGGCAGGATCCGTCTATGTCCTGGCGCCAACTCAGAGACCCAATCTGTTCCCCTGACTCCGCTCTCATTTCAGTTCCCTCTAACCAAACCCACCGCTGGAAAAGGTTTCTAACATGAAACATAAAGTTTTATCACTAAATCCGGGATAATTCAGTGGTTCTGGAGGCTCGGCCGCTTTAAATCTGGGCTGTTTTCCACCCACGGGCTGCGGCGCTCCAGCACATAGACGGAGCTGAGGAGACTCGGCGCTGCAGGTTAGGAGACAACTTCTGGGTTAAATTAGGTTAAATCTGCCCTTACCTTTATATTGATCTCTTTAGTCTTTATTCCCAAATGATTCCAGGATTCTCTTCCAAACAATCCAGATAGATAAATCCAGAGCCGGGGACGGCTGGGAGCGATCAGAAAATCTTATTTCCAAACGTTTTTCCAGAAATATTTCCAGGATCGGTCCTCCTTCCAGCTCCGCGATCTCTCACTCTGTTGCTGCTTGTTACAAACCTGGCAGAGATCCTCTCCCAAACAGGACGCCTTACTCTGTTTCTGCTGCTGCCATTACGAAGGAGAGGAAAATGCGACATAGATCCTCTCTAAAACACAACTCACTCTGATTTGTTATTGCAAAATTGAAGGACAGTAAATCTGACATAATTTTTTTAAAGGATGCCTTACCTTGTGTGATTTTTGTCACAGAAAATGTTGCTTTCGAAGCTGTTCCCACATAAACCCCTACTATGCTAATAGATTGTTAGCATTGTACTTCTTTTTGGCTTTTTAGTCACTTGCCGCCATGTTGGATATTAAACTCTAGGTTGTTCAGTGAGCTCAGTATCCCAGATTCCTGATTTCAGCTACAGTTGCCGTTTTATTTCAATTTTCAGAGAATGAAAACAGTGAAAACCAGAGTGAAAGAAAGCTGGATTTTCAAAGTAAAAGATAAACTAAAATTTACATTCAGTTAATTTTCATAAATTGTTTTGATAAACAAGGCCACACGTATCACTGTACATCTGGAAAGTATCTAACTCAATTTACTTTACCTACACTTTGTTAAGCTACCTTATTTAAAACTGTATTAAATTAATCTGTTTCATCAATATTTTACACAGAAATACCTTGAGTTTATTAAAAATAAAAACAAGAAATTAAATATTACATAAATATTGAGTGCAACTTAACATTATAAAGGTACATATTTACAATTTAATTAAATTGAGTTTAATATAGACAAGCAAGCACACAGTAACACAAGTTTACTTTAAATAACTAGCTTATAGCTACTTCAATTTCACAATTTAACAACTTAATCTAAAATTATTATTGAATTAGAACTGGGTGGAAAAACAGTGAGTGACAGTAAAGTTCAGTCAGTTTCACAAAGTTTAGCTTTGTCATCTTTACAAATAAAGGAATAATTATATTTTTAAAAAAATCTTTAAGAAAAATAAAACTGCAATTCTTTGGTATGTTATAAAACAAGCAGAGTGAAACATCTTTGCATATTTCCTCCTCTGTGTAAATTGCCGCCCAGTTGTTTTGGACGGGCTTTTATTTTGAAATCAACACCAAAGGTGACTCTGCCTCCCTCTAGTGCCAATAAATATAAATATAGACTGCGGACTGTTGCAATAATTGTCCGTTAAAAGTGAGTAATTGTGATTTTGACATCTGCAGCTCAGATTAGTCAGAGTTTCAGAAACCTGAAACAGGAACTGAATAGAGGTCAAAAAGACAGAGAACAGAAATAATTCTCCTTATTTTCAATGATTTAAATGTTTTCCATGGTTTAAGGAATCTGGTTTGACCAACGAATGATTAGATTTCAAAGAATGAAACGACCAGGTAACTGTGCTTGAGGTGCTCTCTTTATTCGTTCTATCCACCTGTTAACATGAGACCAGGCAGCTTGAATCCAAACGGTGAGGTTAGCACTTCTCTTTCTGTCTAGACTAACACCGACATGCTGCCACACGCTGCTCTGCATGCACACTGCATTCACCCTGAAAATAAACCGTATAAAAGGACGAGACGGAGTAAAAACTCAACACAGATCATGTACCAGTCGGGCCAAACGAGGCGGAGAAAAAACCGAGTCCGACACGAACGGAGCTGCTGAGGAGAAAAGGCACAAAGACTCACTCTGAACGACTCGGATCTACGCACAGAAACTCTAAAATAATCTCTAAAACAGAATCAAACATTCAGTGAAACAGAGTTCACTCTGCAGAACTTCAGACTGTTTTAGTTCAGATCCTTAAACCACCACTAGATGGCGCTAAAACGAGACAAAAGATAAAAGAGCCTAAAAATGGGAGAATGTTATGAGAAAAAGACATAATTTTACAAGCAAAAAGGTTGTAATAATACAAGAATTAAGTCAAAATATTATCAAAATAAAGTCGTAATAGTATGAGAAAGAAAGTAAATAAAGTCAGAATATCACAACAAAAAAATCCTACAACAATAAAATTTAAACAGTACAAGAATAATGTCATAATATTTTCACAATAAAGTTGTAATACAAGAATAGTCCAAAAACACCAGAATAGAATCATAATACTACAAGAAAAATTTCGCAATATCGCAAAAATAAATTCTTAATAATATAAGAATAAACTCATATTAGCAGAAAAAAGTTGTATAAACGACTAATACCAGAAAAAATTTTAATAATATGAAAATAGTCATATTACAAGAAAAAGGTCAAACAACCGTAAAGTCGTAATAACACCAGAAAGAAGTCAGAATATTATCAGAATAAAGTAATAATTTTATGAGAACTGACATGTAAAATCAGTCTTGGCGCTGCGTTAACATGAGGAATGTTCAGTATGTTGCGAAGTTCTGCTTTGGTATCCATTTGACAAATAAGGAAATAATATTTTAACATTTATTATCAGGACTTTGAAACGACTGAATCTATTCAGGAAGAAGAACCACAGACTGGCTGAGAGGGCCACATCAAATCTTCACTACTCTGGCCAGACTTTGCTCCAATTTAAACATTTTCTCACAATCTTACGACTTTCTTCTGGTAATATTATGAGTTATCTTTGTAAGTTAAAAAAAAAATTCTAACACTCCGGCGGACTGAGCTGACTTGTCTCACATTTTGTCAGGTGGATTTTGGTGACACCTGTGGCCGCTGAAGGTACTGCTACTGGGTTTTAGAATAATCTGTTCGCACAGCCTAAAAAAACACGGATCAGAAATCATTCTGCCTTTGTTTTGCTCCATAAATAATACAAATTTAAATTATAGATCTGACTTTAGTTACTTTTTTTTTTTTTGGTTTGGTACAGCTGCAGTTTCTTCAGCGGCCAGTAGAGGCTGCTACAAACAGGTTCATGAGTATAAATCCGTAAATAAAAAGCATTTTACCCCAATAATTAGCAAAAACTTTGTTAATTGTAACAGCTTTCATGATTTCTGTGAGAACGTTAAACCAAATTACAGAGTCAGATCAGAAAACACAAACCAGTTGTTACAAACATACAAGGATTAAAGTCAAAATAACTTTCAAACATTGTTTAAAACTGTTGTGATGCCGAATTACATCCCAGGCTACTCAGCCAACGCAGCGGCAGTTTAGCAAACGTAGCATTTAATATTTAATATTCGCCTCTATGCAGATGATTCTGTCCTGTTGGCCGATGTTCTTTCTGGTTGACAGCAGAGGTCTGGATATTAACAGAAACCTGCTGAGACTGGTGCTGACTGACTAAAGGAAACAGCAGAGATGGAGGTTAAAGATAGATCTAACTGCAGTTCTTCTACTGGCCACAAGGAGACGCTAAAACAGTATTTATAGTTAGCAGCTTTGTTTCTCTGGTCCAAAAAAAACTCAGTTCCAACCCAGATTCTTCTGGATCAGAATCTGGTTTCTGATCCAGATTCTGATCAAACTTTCAGATTTACCGCTCCTCCAACTACATTTTTATTTTTTTACTTTTATTAAATGTTAATCAGGTTAAAAAAGCAGACAGTGGAGAGCTGATTGTCTCTACTCTCATTCCTGTCTGGATTATTTCTGTGTTTATGTGTAATTTACCTGAAGCTGCAGCAGCCTCTTGTAATCCAGAGGAAGTGGTTCTGAAGTTCTGCAGTGTGAACAGACCCGTTACACCTGAGCGTCTGATCTGCAGCAGCTCAGACACGTTTACAGTTCAGATAGAAAAAAATCTAAAAAAACACTTCAAAATACACTCAGCGATCATAAACAGAAAAGGTTTCAGCTGAAGACGGAGGAGGATCGGCTCCATCAGCTCAGCCTGCAGCAGCGCCCCCTGCAGGTCCTCACAGGAAACGGCTCGTTATCATTTCCTGGGTGTTTGTCCTGTTGGGTCTGAGATGAAGCTGCTGCAGACAGAAAAGCTTCACCAGCAGAGAGTTCCTGGATCTGATGCTGTTGAGTTCAGTGATCAGCACCAGAACCAGAACCGAACCCAGAACCGAACTCCTCCTGTTGAGCTGAAAGCGTCTTTATACATAATAAAAGTCATAAAGTCAAACAGGCACATCTGCAGGTTCATTAAAAAATAAAAACATGAAACTATGATTTCTGTCTAGAATAAATAAAGTGGCACAGATTTAAAATCTAAAACTTTGTGTTAAAACATCAAACTTTATGAAACGACTAAAAGTGACGTTAAAAATTATTTGTTTTCCAGCATCAACCCATCGTCTGTAACTTGAGGGATTATTCTGCCCTGCAGCCGCAGCTTGGAGCCGGCTGTCTCTGACCTGAGCCCCGGTCGCATGCAGCAGCAGGACTTCCTGTCTGCAAGCAGAATCATCATCAGCAGCAGCAGCAGCAGGTGGTTAGCATTAGCAGGCTGCTCGGTCAGCTCAGCTCTACACGTTGATGGCGTGGGCGTGCTTCTTGCACAGAGGCTTGTCCTTCTTGGAGTAGAAGGGCTGACCCTCCAGGTTCACGTGGCACACCTGCAGAGACAGCAGCACTTAGAGGACGGCCTGACCTCTGACCTCTGCCTCTGAGCCTGCTCTTACCGCGCACACGAAGCAGGTGTCGTGCCAGGTGTGGCCCAGAGCCTCGATGAACTTATCTCCAGCCTCCACCGGGAAGTCGCAGCCATGACACTTGGTACTGAACAGGGCGACGTAATCTGACAGAGCAGAAGGAACAATGCTAAGCTGCTAACGTGCTAACAGGCTAACATGCTAGTATTTGCTGCAGAACTGCTAAACAAGGTCATGGATTCCAGCAAATTTACCATTTTTATTCCAAGGATCAAGGATGCTGAAGCTACAAGTGGATCAATCAGAACCAGTGGTGGGAACACTTCTGCTAACCTGCTAATAGCAAAGGTTGTAGCTCAGCACTTTAGCGTTTTTGCTAACTTTGAAATCACACACTTAGCTTCTCCTAAATTTATTATTATGGATGCAATTTAAATTCAAACAGCAGATAAATTCAAATTTATCATTGGCTTTAGCATTAGCTTCCACCTAAAAATTAGCGAATCTACATAATTTTTATAATTAGCGCTTTGGAGTTAGCTAACTTTTCAGTTAGCAGCACCACCACTGAAAGCACTAAAATGATCAAAGATCCATTTATGAAACAAATCTTCATCTCCGTGACAACGAAAACAGCTCCTCTCGACCAACGTAAAGTTTCTCCTCCACTTTAACCAGCAGGACCAGGAGAGACCGTCACCATGTCCCCGTCTGTCCTCTGATTGTCCGTCAGGACCATGTCCCCTGTCCAGCATAGACCCGGCTCCGTCCCCACTACCTTTCTCGCAGTACGGCTCCCCGTCCTCCATGTGGAACAGGCTGTTTCCAAACGGTTTCCCGCAGGCGGCGCACACGAAGCAGGTGGTGTGCCACGTCTGCCGCAGGGCGTGCATCACTTCCTGCAACAGCATGTCGTTATTTCACTGAGAAAAACACCAGAGGCAACAAACAGCAGAGGAAATACTAACCAAGGCCTCAGAAACTCAGAGACGCATCATGCAAAATTAACTTTTTTAGCCCTTAAATCTATTTCGCGTATATTTAGATTTTTCTATTTTCTGTTTGGATTTCTCACCAACCAATTTCACAAAGCTGCCATTTTTATTTCTTGCAGTAATTTCGTAGTCCAAGTTCAAGGATGTTGAAACTACAAATGGAGGTCAAAATGTTTGGTTAACCCATACAAGTCATTAGAATCATCCTCCAGCATCAGAACCGCTTCTCAGCACCAGGTCACATGTTTTTTCTCTTGGAAATGTTCCCACATCAGAGGAGGACTTTCTATTTGTTTGTGCAAAAGACAAACGCTTCAATAACCTCCAGTAGCATGAAGAAGGATTCAGCAAAAGACTGGCGGTCAGTTCCTTCCGTGTGTGGAAACGGCGACGCAGCAAAGCCACAAATGAAACTTTAATTCAGACATGGATTATTGTGTTGCTATGACATCCTGGTCATTGCGTTGCTAGCAGTAGCAGCATGTCTTCTGCTATTGCTAATGTTAGCGCTGTATGCTAGCGGTTAGCTCCCTGAGGACGGAGCCATCCTGCATGTTTCTTGTTTTTGCCATTTTTGTCTTGCATTCAGTGACATTCTTGGTGCTAGCATTAGCAATAGCTGGCTTGCTAACTATGTCGAGACTTTGTTTACAAACGTGTTCATTCATGTTAGCAGTGATCCCGTTCCAATCAGCTCAGAACTTTAAAGTCAAAACACAAACAATGTGACTTTCTCACCAGTACATTAGAAAGTCAGGATGACCTATGACCCCCGGGTCTGCCTCACCCCCATGATCTTGGTGTTGCAGCGGGCGCAGGTCGGAGCGAAGAACTCCTCGTAGCAGTTCTCACAGTAGACGTTGTTCTGCTCCTCCACGAAGCTGACGTCGGCCAGGGAGACGTGGCAGTAGTGGCAGTTGAACTCCTCGGGGTGCCAGGACCGGCCGAGGGCCACCAGGAAGGGGCCCCTGGGGACCACAGCAACACCGTCACACACTGCGGACCGGAACGAGCCGCTGTGATGAACGCCGAGGCCCCTACCTAATGACGCTGTTGCACGCTGAACACAGAGGCGTGCGGCTGCTGGCGGCGAACCTCTCTGCTCTCTGGGCCACGCCCCTCGCCACAGGAAGGAAGGGGGCGGGGCTCGGTGTGACGGGGGCGGGGCTGGGAGCGGGCGGCCCGGCGGGGGACGGGTTGGGGATGTACGCCGGCGGGGGCGGGGCCGCCTGAGGAAGCGGCTGGACCTTCACGGAGGAGCTGGTGGTCTTACCCGGGTCGAACTTATCAGCGAAGTTGGTGTCGGTCACCCAGGGCGGTCGGTTGGCGGTGGAGGAACCCGGAGGAGGGGCGGCGGGGGGTGGGGCCGGGGCGGCTGCTGCAGGGCGAGGCTGGGGCGGGACTGGAGCTGCAGCCACAGGCAACATGGGCGTTAGCATAACGTCTGATAGCATCACAAGCTGAACAGAGACCTTTTACCCAACACAGACAGCCTAACTCTGAAAGCGCTTAGCGCACTTAGCTTCCTCTAAACTAAATTCTAAAACACTAATTTACCTGAGTATTTTTTTAAACTTTCAGTTGAATGAAGTTTGACATTTGGCTGAAGTTTTGGTTATCGACTGTTAAGAATTCTTCCAGTTTGTTTATAATCATGCTCTTATTTTGAAGTCTGTGTACGCAGCAGTTCCATTTCCTGCCCTCATAATGGTGGAGAACATCAGGTAGCGAAATGATTTGCTACCCAGAATGCATCACTGCAGAATAGTAAACAGTCTAGTGTCTCCTGTCCATCAGCATCAGAGATAGAAAAACTCAACAGCTATAAAACTGAAGCCAGGAGTGAAATAACTCTGGTTTTAGCAGTAGCTTCTCTCATTAGCGTCACTATAACGCTTTTAAATAAGCTTCTGCTGCATACAGTGAAGCACTTTAGCACAACTAATGTTTATAAGTGCTTTAGCAACTAGCATGGTTAGCTTTGTAGCTAGCTATACTTAGTAGTGTACTGAACTCAACATGACCTTAACTTCTGCTGAAGCCTTTTGAGACTGAGAATCAGGGATGTGACCTCTGACCTTCCTGCTGACTGCCAGGTGTTCTGTGCCTGATATCTGCTGATGTGCGCCCTCTGGTGGCCGCCATATTCATGCTCCCTCACCTGGCTGGGAGGGGTAGATGCAGGCCGTGCTGACCACCTTCGGGGGGGCGGAGCCAACGGGGATCTGGATGGAGCTCTGCTGGGTGGGCGGGGCTTGAAGTGGGGGGGGCTGCTGGTAGAGCGGGGGCATCGGCTGGAACTGCTGCAGCATTGGCTGGTACTGCTGAGGGGGCGGAGCCTGGTGCATGGGCGGGGCCATCCCGTACTGGCTGGAAAAGCACAGAGACACGTTGAGGATTCAAGTCCCACAGCAGAGCCTTCATGTGAAGGAGGAGTCTTCATCACAGACTGTCCTCTGATTGGTCAGGCTACAGAGCCTCTGATTGGCTGCTTGGAGTGACCAGATAGTGCTCTCTCCATCCAACCAACCATCCAACCATCCCGAAGTTTCTTCAGGAATATTTCTGCCTCTTTAATCGACCAATCAGCTCAGCAGGCGACCTGATGTCCCACTCTCTGTGAAGCACTTAAACGCACCGCCTCTCTCTCTGCAGACTGAAATCCACAGGAAAACTCCCAACACTTCCTCACCCTCTGACCTCTGCTGCTTCCTGTCAACCTTCTACATTCACAATAACAAGCTGCTGATGATCTGCTGGAGTTTCATCCAATCAGAGGACGGATCTGCTGGAGTTTCATCCAATCAGAGGACAGATCTGCTGGAGTTTCATCCAATCAGAGGACGGAACTGCTGGGAGTCAGGAATGTTCCAGGATGAATCCAGACTGGGAGCAGCAGCTGGATGTTGGATCAATGTGATTAGAGCTTTATTAGATCTGGAGCGGTGAGGAAGAGGAGGAGGAAGAGGTCAGACGTTCCTCCATGACATCATCTCCATGTTTGACTCCTGCTCACATGTTTTACTTTTTTTTTTATTCTGAATACTTTTTGCATCATAATCAATGTTATTAATGTTTAATCATGGCTGAAACACCCAAATTATCACATCTTGGTGTTTATCCTTGGGAAATATTGGGCACTTTGGGATTTTCTCCTTCAGAAAAATATTTTTTTGTGTGGCAAAAACAGGCAAAAAAAATAAAACACAAACAATTCAAAAACGTTTATATATATATATATATATATATATATATATATATATATATATGTAATGTTTGAAGCTGTTGAAAAGATTTAATGCAGTGAAAGTTAAATATTATTTCAGGACATTAAGGTGGAAACTGTGAAGTTAATGAATTTTTTCTTCAAGGGTTAAAGCTTCTGAATTAATATTGTTAGAAATAAATTACCAAACAATATTGAATAAATAATGTTTGTTATTTTTTGTGGGTCTGTAATGGGTTTTACTATTTCTTGCAGAATTTCACATAAAACCACAGGAAGCATCAGAAATATTTAACCAGTAAATTGTTAACATATCTGCTGTTTTATAAGGAGTTAAATGAACTGAGGGTTTATTAAACTGTTTCCAGCAGGAAGTCGACCTTCATGTGGATCTAATCTGCTTCCTCTTCCTCCCAGAGACAAAATAAACTCTGGGGGAAACAGCCGACCTCTGCTGCCATCGATCCAGGATGAGTGGAGCCGGAGGATCGATGGGATTAATGGAGGATGATGAGATAAGAGCCGGTGGGCGGAGCCTGTTACACGTCATATGATGCTTCTCTGCTGTTTCTGCCTCCAGAGAAACTCGGGCTGAAGGATTTCATGGGACAATCAGTTTTCATCCTCAGGTTTCGGGTCAACATGAGGATCATCTCAGGAAGCCGATGAGATTTTAGGTTCAGAAATCCATCAAAACCAAACGGAAACATCTCTGAAGCAACAGGAAGCCTGGTGACAGAGAAACTTTACCTTCTGCTCAGGTTTCTAACTTCCTGTGCCTGTTGCCATGGTAACTGATGCTAGAAACCCAGCGGCTTATTATGAAATATTAAGTTTTAGTAATGTTTGTCTTCTATGTGTTTCAGTTTTCCTGTAGTGAGGCGACTGAAACCCCTGGTGTTGTCTCTGGATCAGAACCTCTTCATGGTTCAGACAGAAAAGTTTCTGATCAAATCTGGATCTGCAGCTCTAAGCTCCCATCAGGAGGTTCTGGATCTACTGTGGATCTGTTTTTGTCTCGGTTCCAGAGATCCAGCGGATCCAAATCAGCCTGCAGAGCTGCAGCTCCCCCTGCTGGCCACACACACTCACTGCATGCAGGTGGAGCAGAGGGTCGGCTCCAGGTGTGGTTTGGGTCAGTAAACAGTGGGGGGAGGGGCTGTGCCCAGGTGAGGAGGCGGAGTCTACCTGCTTCTCTTCATCACCTCCTCCTCATCATCCTCCTCCTGCTGCTGAACTGGAAGCAGAAATAAAGAACCCATTGATCGCTCCGCGTTTCTCCTCCAGAACCAGCAGAACCAGACCTACTGGGCTCGGTGTGGGTCAGGTGGGCCAGCAGCTGGAAGGTCTTGGACTGGGCGCTGCGGCAGCTCCAGTCGCTCTGGTTCTGGTTCTGGTCTGTGGTCCGGACCGCCTGGTAGACCGGAGAGGCGCTGTCCACCAGCTGGTCGCTAATGGAGGCACGACTGCAACCAGAACCGGACCGGGTCAGAACAGAACCGCTTCAGGAGGAGTGATCAGTCGCAGAGCTGGAAGAGCCTCAATCTGAGTGGGTTAACTGTTAAACCAGTTAACCAGTTACTGGGAACCCAGCAACTGGGTCAACTGGTTAAAGACACACTGACTCAACTTGTTGCTTAGAGACGGGAAGAGGAAGATCAGAGGAGGAACCGGATCAGAACATTCAGAGTTTTTCTCTTAGGGCAACATTTTCACCTCCAGAGACGCGCAGCCCTCAGGGTCAATTTGGGGTCATTCAGGGGTCAATCAGGGTCAATCTGGGGTCATTCAGGGGTCAATCAGGGTCAATCTGGGGTCATTCAGGGGTCAATCTGGGGTCATTCAGGGTCAATCTGGGGTCAATCAGGGTCAATCTGGGGTCATTCAGGGGTCAATCAGGGTCAATCTGGGGTCATTCAGGGTCAATCAGGGTCAATCTGGGGTCAATCTCAGCTTGTACAGGATCTCACGTGTTTCTAATTAAAGATAAAGTAAAGTATTATCAGGCTGAGAAATATTTTTTAAATCACCAGAATAAAATTATAATTTTATGACAACTCCTAAAAATAAAACTAAAATTTTAGCATCTTGTGAAATTATATTTGGTATCAATTTAATAAATAAGGAAACTCTTAATCTTTTCACAATTCAGCATCAAATTATTATTAGCAGTAAAAGTTTGAAATGACAAAGTCTGAACTGATCATCAAATTCTGACAATTATTCAAACTTTTACTCAGTAAAACAACTTTTTTCCTGTAATTTTATAACTTTATTAATATCACAATTTTTATTTTGCTGATGTTCAGTTTGTTCAGACTGGCCCTAATAATATTTTTAAGATTTTCTGGTTTATTTTCTGAAAGTTTTTGTCTTTTTACACGTCAGAAGTACTTTTTATTTTAATATGAGTTTCAATGATAGTAATTAAAATCTGATTTTGTATTTTCTGTTAGAGTGAAATAAGAAATGAAGGGAACCACGATTCACATCAGCAGCTTGATGGACGACAGCAGAACCTACAGGCTGACCGAAGCTGATCAGCAGGGCCGTGCAGAGGCCACTACAGGGCCAGGTGCTGAAAAAAAGGGGCCCATCTAACCTCCTTCTAGGACAGAATATT